GGCACTCTAAGCAAAACCCTAGTCTCCCCAAGCATTAATAAAATCATACTTCATATATTCATACTCATTTACAATATATTTACATGCTATATTCACATACTATGTTTACTCAACTCGTATGGTATACTCACAAAACATATTGACATGCTTACCGGATATGCAATGCCTAGCATTTCTAATCATTACTCATGCGTTGCACTCATACTTAGATATCTCGTGTTTATGCTTACATAGCCCATGATCACAACATACAACTCATCAACAATAGTTCATGCATCTTCATAGGTTAAACTCCTGAACACATATTGATGTTTAATATAGTTCAAAGTCATAAATTTACAAATGTACATACCTCATGATCCATATTCTTAAGCTCAAACACAGAAAAACTACAAGCATACATACATATATCCATTACATACTTATATACTCAGAATGAATTCATATTTTTAAAAATTCGTACTATGATGTACAAAATCATGCAGTCATGTCATAAATATGTGAAATCACAAACTTGGCTTTGTGCCTCATACAATATTTTAAAAGTGTGTCGTGCATTGCACCTCACACACTATTTTAATTGTGCATACCATTTTAATCCCATGCCTCGCTCTTATATATTTGGTCTCATGCCTTATCACATAGGTATGACTTTACACCTTGCGATTACAATACTACTACTCAATGGCCTCACCCTTGACCTTAATTAGTCTAGCTACAATCATGTTTTTACTATCCAACCTCAAGACGTACAACCTTGTATAATTTTTTTCTTAGCTTTGCATACACTAATATTCACATAGACATTTGGGAGCTAATCTTTCGCAAAATCCCTTCTAAATTTATGGGGGTAATTTTTTAAAAAATTCTTCAGACATTTGGGAGCTAATATTTCATAAATTCCTTTAGAATTTTGGGGGCTAGCATTTTAGAAAATTCCTCAAATATTTCGAGGCTAATCTTTCACAAATATCTTCAACAATTTTTGGGCTAATCTTATAAAAATTCCTTAGAGTTAAACCGTCTTGAAGACTAATCCTGTAACAAAAGGTCTTCAACAATAATAGTATATTCAACTTTGGAAGTAACATTTTGCGACCTCACTCCCAAAATGGGGGATGATACTTGAATATAATAGTTAAAATACTCAACCCATTTTCTACTTAACAAATGACTTTCACCATTGTTAAGCAAGGGACTAATGTAAGACAATGGATTTATAATTGTACATCAATTCAACCAACCCAACATAAATCCAAGTTAGACCCAATTGGGTCAAATAAATTATTTGCTAAATATTTACAAGCAATCCAAGATATTAGACATGTACACAAGGGCAAAATGGGCAAAGTGGCAAGAATGAGAAAACACTAGAAAATTACCCGAAACATTATAAATACGGCCCCTTTCCCATATGGGGACTCATTAATAACGTATTAAGAATAGTGGAATACCCATTAACTTAAGATATATTAAACCTATTATGAAGAAGAGAGAACCTCTCTCTCTCTCTCCTTCCTTTCCTTCCTTTCCTCTTTCCATATCTTTTCCACCAACCTAAATCATCGCCATCTCTCTCTGGACTTTCAAAGCCAAACCATATTTCTCCCCCAAATTGACTTACAATAGGTCATAAAAGTTAAATTTAAATATTTAATTCAATTTATGTCTTACCCTTTACTTGATGCACATGAAACTTAGGGGTCTTGAAAAAAAGGGAAAATTCCTTATTAGTACCTTGTACTTTGGGCTTAGCGCCACTTTGGTCCCTTAACTTTAAAACAGGACAATTCAGTATCCGGACTTTCAAAATGTGTTAATTTAGTACATGTCATTAACCATCCGTTAGTTATGTGTATCATGTAACATCATGTGTGACTTAAAACTTTTGAAAATGTCAAAATTACTCATAGAAATAAAACAACATTCATCATCTTCTTACTCGAAAAAATGAAACAGAGGTGTAATCCCTTCTGATTTCCTACCCAAGTTCTTTCCTGAATGCGTCTCAAATCCTCATATGCGTTGTTTGTAGCCATTTAGTTAAACAGGTTTCAACTATGTTGATCCGAGCTTTCCTGGTGGTGTTGGGCCTGAAATCTCCGATTCCATAAAGCAGGTTGGTTTTGTGCATCTCTCTCTGCCCCCAGCGAATAAACCAGTGAGTTTTGCATATCCAAAGATTTTTTCTAAAATTTCCGATTCTGCACTGCATTTCTTCATTTATTTTTTGGTTGCCAAAGATTTTTTTTTCTGAAATTGCCAATTCCACAATGCATTTCTTCATTTCTATATGATTGCCAAAGATTTTTCTATATTCTTTATGAAGGCCATCTTTGAAGGTGTTGAGCAACATAAACAACATTTGCTTTGAGGTGTTGAAGAATGAAAAGTCATTTTATTTTCATTCTTTTCTCTTCAATGCCACTAACATGTGATGTTGGTGTTCTTGTTCTTGTTGCTTGTTTGTATTTTTGAGTCTTAATGTTCTGCTACAATTGCATTTATTATTGTATAAATGTTTTCTTCATCTTTTTCTTTCCCTTGTAATCTTGGTTGGAAATGATTGACAATGGTGCTTATTATGGGTGTCATCCAGTTCTTTTACCCATTTTTTAGGTTACTGAGCTGTGCAATTACAGATGCAAGGAGCAATTTAGGCAATCCTATCACATGGAAACTTTATAAAAAAATGTAGTTCTGCAATACATCTGTGTAGTGGATCTAATGATGCAACCTCTTGTATTTTCACACTTTTAGCATCTGTTTGGCATCAATGTCGTTGCTCCAAAAAACGGTGACACATCAACGCTACATCGGAAAAAAYGGTGCTCCAGGAAATGTCTATTTGTTTGGAACTGTTTTTCCATAAAAAAAAATGGTGCTCCAAGCCACGCATTAGACATCGAGAAGGCATGGTTTGAAGCAACATTGAATTTGACATTTTCTCATATTGCAGCTCGTTGTTGCGAATGAGGATGTGATGTGGAAGTGACGTGGACTTCCTATAATGGGTACCAGTGCTAAAAACAAGCATAACTCCAGGAAACGTCATACTTGGCAACAACGTTTCCAAATAGAAAAAAGACATCATTTTCTCAAAAAAATGGTGCTTCCAACCCACACATCAGCAGAACTTTGCAACATTGATGTCAAACATATACTTGGTCAATTTCCCTTGCTTGATTGGAAGAAAATGGTTTTGAAACCACCACCATTTCAGATATCCTTAAAGCCAAGGTAAAGGTGCTGATGGTTCTTGGCTTTGGTGCGCAATAGATGACACTATTTATGATGATGTAAAATCGATGACAGAAAACAATGTTGGAGCACTTGTGGTGGTGAATCTAGGGGAACAAAAGTCGATTACTATAATAATAATTATTATAGAGAGAGACTATCTCAAAAAGATCATTGTACATGGGCGATCATCTAAGTCTTTTGTTAGGTGTGTTTCATGTTGGTTCTTAACCTTTCCCTTTTGTTTTGAAGGAATATTCGATGGAGGAGGGAGGCGAGTTCGGGAGCTGGGATGAATTAATACCCGACGCATTGGGGCTAATCTTCAAAAACCTTTATCTTTAGATACAATCAGAATAGGGGTGGAGCTAGGAAATTGTTGGGGGGGGGGAGCAAAACATAAATGAAGTATGGATGGGCCGCCAACCATTGAAATGGAGAGTGGGGGTAGGGAAATTTTACATGGAAAGCTGTATTACAATGGGGTTTTTTGAACCATAGGGGGGGGCATGGGTCCCCTGGCTTCACCCCTGATATTAAGGAGTGGTGTTTCCACTGCCAATCTAATGCTTGTGGGGTTGACACTTCTATCTGAAGAAGGGCATTTGGATGGTTGATAAATAAAATTAGATGACATTCGTAGGGCATTTGTGTTTTTTCAAATGCCACTTAACGGTAATTATTAAATTGACACGCTTTAAAAGTTTAGGTAGTGAATTATTGAGTTTTTAAAATTCGGGGATCAAAGTGACACTAGGCCTAAAGTACAAGATATTAATCTAAAATTTTCTTAAAAAAAATTATATAATATTTATACATACAAATATTGTAAATTGGATTTGGGTTGGATAAGTTTGGACAAAGTCTCAAACCTGACCCAACCCAACCAACCCAACATCTTTCGAATTGGTTCGAGCTAACCCCGCCCAAATTACAGCCCTATCTGTCAAAAAAATAAAAAAAAGGTTACGGCCGTATGTGCACGGATCGGGTCAGGTTCGATTGCGCACACCGTTTAGTAGGATTGGATTTGGCTGAGGCCTAAAGTCTAAAGACTTTTTTTTTTAGGGCTAAAGCATCTCTTTTGATGTGGTTTAGTACATCTGGCTTTAGTGCCTCACCGCTCAGCTTTTTTGCGTTTCTCGACTTTCCAACTTGATGTGGGTTGGGTTGGGACTTGGGAGCCCAAAAGCCACCTGCGAAAGCCGTTCCAAACTATGAGTAGGGAGAATAGCCGACGAAACAGCAACACGGTTACACTTCCGATGAACTGCCCTGCCCTGCCCATGGTGGACGTGGACTTTGTTTGATTGCCACCGACAGCTCTAATATCATCATCATCCCAACAATTACGTTATTAAATGCATAAATGCAGCCCATGATGTTAACATACATTGAAATTTACGCCTTTCATCTTTGTTGAATCCATACTCCATAGGTCCAGACGTCCAGACGTCCAGTGCAGTACATCTACATGAACTCGCATGCCAGGAAAGTCAAACTAACCCAGATGAGTATTAAAATTCTGTTGCTTGCATGGTCGTCTGGACGTGAAGCTAGCCAAGTATCCTGATTATATATTAAACATCCTATTGTTCGTTCTTGGGAACCAAGAGCACGGGCCCGCCGTTGATCATGTGGCCAACGTAGTGGAATCATTTAACTTTGGTGGACCAAGAAACACCAAGGAAAGGTTCAAGGAACTCCCAGCTCATGAAAGCCTCGTTTGTAATGAAAAGCGCGAATAGTGTATCGAAGAAGCAAATTGGATGGAGCCATGGAGGGTTTGAGCCACGCGTTTTTCTCGCCGACTAAGGAAAAACCGGCAGCAGAGTGACCCCCCAAACCGCGATTAATAGAGAGTGCTTATCGTCCAAAATCACACCAAAAGACTAAAATACCCTTCAATCGTTTATCCAAAGTCTTACAAATGAAGGAACATCACCGAAATTATAAGGATAGGTTTGGTCATATGTAATCTTAGTTACCCGTCATCATCCGAAAGCTAACGCTAAGCATTCCCTAAAATCAAAGTCCTCATCTCAACCCCCCTCTCTCTCTAGCAAAGAAGAACTCGAGCTGCTTCAATTTCGGGCTGGGATCAACAGATCCAAGCTCTAAGACTCATTACTGACAGTTCTTCCGATTTCACTTCTCAGCTCGTTTTCTTCTGTTAAATCCAGCAATGTCATTGTTGTTCATGATTGGCAGATAGAGGATCTCTGGATTTGGATTCTGATCGGAGTATAAAGTCGGGAGTTAGATGGGAGCCGTGCCTTCGACGCCGCGCAAGAACGCGCGGCCGCAGGACACGGCGGAATACCTAATCGGCACCTTCGTTGGAAAGAAGTCCTTCCCTATTTCCTCAGATTTCTGGCAGAAATTGCTCGAGCTTCCCCTTACTATTGAATGGCCGGATCACCGAATTCGTCAAGCTTGCGAACTATTAGGTCAGTAGTCCTTGATTGCTACTAAGCTGCCTAAATAGAGTAAATTTAGAGATCATTGTTTGGCTTTGAAAGCTCTGAACTTCATGTTAGCCAATTTTCAGTTCGCAATTACTCTTCTTTCATTAAAATGCGATGCATTCCTTGGGATTCTGTAATTGCGTCGAACCTCTTCGTGGTCGAATGCCATAATTGGGTGGATCACGACAGAAATATGGCCTTTATGATAGCATGTTACGACTGTGGAGACTTGTAGATGTAATTTGTGACGAGGTTCGAGATTACCTTATGAAATGCCTTCATGCTACATTTTGTTGTTTATTTTTCCAGAACATGTTTTTGACCATCACAAGTTGATGACGAAACATCTTCATTTCTTATAGCGACAACAATCACTTTTGCTCCCCCTTTATGGTTTAGTTAACTTAGGTGTAAGTATGCATCAGATTTGGCAGCGTGGTATGGTGGGTTTCAAATGGTGATGGTCCATAAACTTGGCAACACTGTGAGCTTACCAGTTCCCTTTTTTTTGTATATAAGTTTAAAAAGGAAAGGCCTTTGGTGCATTTCAACTTACCCGTTTTCCTCTTAAAAAATCTCAATCTGTGTGTGTTTCTGTCTTTACGCACAGATACATACGTGCACATGTAGATAAAAAAGAGATCTCAGTCTCTATATCTTGATTCCTACCTCCCTTGACTGTTAGTAAACTCAGTTTTGATTGCTGCCGCATTGGGAATCCAGGATGGTTTGGGATAGGAGTCTTCAGAAACCAAATTGGAGAAGTTTTGATGGTCTATTCAGGTCTAATAGGAGATGGGGATTCCATTCGAGCTGGGCTTCTGTCCCCTTTTAAAGGAATGCATTTGAGCTTTTGGTCAAGCCACCCTAATTTGGAAGCTGAGGAAGATTTTCATGTGGTGGCAAGGTGCCAACCAGCTGGTTGGTAAGGCCTCCTGCTGTGTAGAAAAAAAAGGATTTCCATGTGGTGATTGGGTGGATGTTAGGCTGCAGGGGACTTGTTTTTGATTTGGATGGCTGGGTCTTCTGGCCTAGCTCTCTCTCCTTCGGAGGCGTGTGGTTGTTCTGTTGTATTCCTATTACTTTCTTTTTTAATAAATGCTTTATGATCTGTTAATGATAAAAGGGAAGAGAGCTTTTTGTGCATTCAAGTATTGTCTCAGTATTTCAACTTGTAAGTGCCATGGGCAAGGGCTGATGATGGTTGGTTGGATCTCCGAAGGCCGGAGGAGGAGGAGGATAAATGGTGGTGGTTTGGTTGGAGAGAATGTTGGCGATCAAGGTGGTGGAGGTGGAGCCTGGGAAGAAAGAGAGAGAGAGAGAAATCTGGGGCTCCATTTGGAAATGGGTCCCCTATTTATTTATTTTTTCTTTTCTTTCTTAAATGAAGTCATTTCTAGAATCTTCTAACTTTGCCATATCAGCAAGAGGTGGCGAGCTGTTTGCCACTTGTTTAACTCAAGGCTTGGCTTGGCTTGTTAATTTATCACCTGGGTTGGAATGGATAGTTTGCTTCAAGTTGGGTCAACTGGGTCTGTTGCCTTATAAAAGACTACGCCCTTACACAGCCCAAATCGTTTTTGGTGTCTCATTTACTCTTTTAGATCTTCCGAGTTACATCATATCAGTCTTTCTTAGTAAATCAGTAGGTTGTCTCCCATGCACATAACTGAAGTTTTTAGTAGATTTTCCTTAGTTTTTTCCTGCTACCAGGTTACCCCTACTCCTAGCCAACTTTCCATGTTTTTCTTCTACTTGTATATAGCTTTGGTCTTGAATATCTTTTTTTTTTGATAGGTAACAAGAAACTTTTATTAAGCTCGAGAAGAAATGCCATGTACAACTGATGATTGAGTCAGCTACTAGCGATAGCTGAAACAAATAAAACCCTTTACAATATTCCCCAAGACATTTGCTCCCTGTTTACCCCTTGTCTAGCAAAATAGTGTGCCAATCCATTTGCTGATCTCTGAATCCAAAAGAATCTTGTGTTCAAGTCTCGTCCATGCTGCCTGATCTCAATATCTTTTTGTTATTGCTAAAAAAGTACACAGGATTGGAATGATTTTCCAAAAAGTTGGTTAAGTCCACTCTCTCTGACCTGCTGCTACTGGTTTATTTCATCTTGATTTGCAAAGTCTTCGTGAAGTTTACTTAGAAAGCTATGATGCCCATATAAGGATGCTGACAACAACATTGATAAGGGAAACAGAAATGTGAACACTATGTGTCTTAAGATCCTGGATATGATACTTAATATGCTTATATCATTTGATTTTATATCTAGTTTTTGAAGTAATGCCATTTCTCAATACTTATATCTTTCCAAGTTAAACTTCTAAACAGGTTTTTGAAGGTATAATTTGTTAATTCTTGCCATTTTACATATTTAAGGTGTTAATGTTTTAAAGTACACTCTAGAAGTGTTTGTACAGTATCCGGTGTTGTATTGGGTATATATCGTGTCTGACATGGTATGGCAGGCATGTACAGGTATTTGGGTATTATTATAGTTATAGAGTGGAAAATTATCAGTCTTCTTGTGGGATTTAGGATATATTAATTAACAAGAATTAGCTTGTCAAATAGGAGGTTATATGTAAGAAGAAAGAGATAGGGATCTAGGAATTGTGTGGATAGGAGATAAGAATGCTTCTCTTATAGGAAAATGGTTGTCAAGATTCCTTATGGAGTCTAATAGCCTTTGCCATTTGTTCTTTAGCAGTAAGCGTATCCTTGAAAAAAGTGGTTGGGATGACATCCATAGTTTTCAAGGCGCCAAGGCGAGGCTAGGTGACAGGGGGGCGCCTTGTCGCCTAGTCGCCTAGGCGACACCTAAGCGATGGATTTTTTTCTAAGTAAAACCATATATCCTAGGGTAGTTCCCTTCATAAGAAAAGTATAAATTTCATGTTTAAGTCTAGAAAATCAACATTTTATGAGAAGAAAAAGAACAAAGTAAAGAAAATTCAAAAAAAATAGGGGCTGAACCCCTACTTTTGTTATAGGAAAGAAGAAAAGAAAAGGTGGAGGAAGAAGAAGAAAATGTGTTGACTAGACAAAATTTTGAGTTCTTCCCTTGCTTATTGGTTCGGGTTTTGAAATTTTTGAGGGTTCAATCAAGGAACAAAATTTTGATACGACACGCCCCGTATCGGGTGTATTGTATTGTATCTTTGGGGTTCTGATACCTATTTACAGGTGTTTTCGGGGACCCATTTTTTAAATAATATATATATATATATATTTAAAAATGAAATTGAAAACCAAAGAAATAAAAAAAGGGGGGAGTATCATTATAAGTATCGATACACCTCTGCCAATACACAGAGGTGTATCGATACTTTGAACCATGGGTTCAATACAGCAGTTAGCAATGGATTAAACCCTTACAAAATAAGAAAATAATAAAAGAAATTAGTATATAAACACATAAAATGAATATTCTAGTTTAATAATGTCTATTTTATAATTATAATGTCAAACAATTAAAAATATAAAAGTATTTTATAACCCAGTGCACAAAACTGCTTGGCGACTGGGCGAGGCGAGCCTCCAAGGGTGCCTTGTCGCTTAGGCACCCACCTAGGCGTCGCCTTGACAACTATGATGACATCCTTATCGATAGGGCTCCTTGGTGTATTCTTGGAGGCTTTAGCTATCTTTTCCACTTTTTCCATTTATCAGGTATGATTCAGAGTCTTGGGGGAGAGTCAGATTAGAGGAGAATATCCGGCTTTGGAAATTTTTAGGAATGTCCTCTCTTTCAGCATTTCCTAACCTAAGAACATGCCTATATTGTCTTTAACCCTTTTATCAACTCTAGTATTTCTTGGGATTGCAGGTTCTTTAGTGGTCTGAGAGATCATATAGGATTGATGCAACTTCTTATTGGATAGATTAAAGGTGTCTTGATTGATATTAATAGTAACGACCCTTGGGTTTTGGCTGCTGATCAGAAGGATCACATCTCTTGATCTTCCTTCTTTAATGTTTTCACTGTTAATGCAGATAATTTCACAGCAGTTCAAATCTGGTATGGGTGGGGCCCATTTCCTCCAAAATAAGACCTTTTTATTGGGGAACATAGACACGAAGGCCAATACTAGTGAGATTCTGCGGTGCAGTTAGAAATGATGTTGTGGCATTTGAACCAAGGCAGCTAGATGTTCAGTGCTAGGGTGGGTTGAACCTTTCTACTAAATCCGCCTTGGCATTTGAGTCTCAGTAAAATTAAGGTCGGGGATGATGGGATCTCACCCTAAAAATAGGGAAGAATGCCTCTTCACTTCAGAAGTTGCAGAGCAGAACTTCAATCTTTCATTAGAGTGGAAAGATGCAATGGTAGCAAAGCTGATTGTTATAAGCGTAGGCATACTTTACGGTTGTCTGACCTACTAAGAACCTCCAATTTGGTGGAGAGATTGCTGAAGAAGCAACACAGCAGGTGCAACATGCCAATGGACTGGAAACAGATGTTGAACTCAAAAATAGGATTTGGATGCCTTGTTGCACTGGTGCTGCATCAGGGAGACTTGGAAGATACCCCTTTGTTTTTTTGAAAGGTATACCCCCTCATGTTTGCATCCTATGTAAGAGAAGTAAGTGAATGAATTACTTATTCATTAATTATGCATATGTTATGAGGCTTTGGAATTACTTATTCATTAATTATGCATCTTCTCACCGTCTATAAGAAGAGGAAAATATGGTGAGGAGGAATTTTATGATGTAATTCTTTGGAGAATTTGTGAGGAGGAATTTTATGATGTTCTCTAATAGTAGAAATACTGGAGATGATCAACTTTGATCTTGTTACTATTAGAGTGGCTATTCTGGATTTTAACAGGAGGCTAGATAGTTCCAGTGTGTTCAGTAATAAGATGGTGACAAATTATTGCAAGCTTATTGTTAGGAGACAACATGCTATACCAGAGTGTGTTCCCCCTTATTTGTTTTTGTGACAGTTGGGGCCGGGCTACCCCCTTGCCTTGTGTAGCTCATTCTGATTGACCCGTGATGGTGATTTTAGTATATTATATGTCATGGCTGTGCCATAGGGTTTCATGTTGTTTCACTTGGACTCGAGAGCGTTAAGGTAAAAGGGGGTTCTCCAGTTGTTATCAGTTGGCTGTTAGATGGTTCAGATGGTCCATGGAGACTAGGACATCTTGTCTGGAAGGTGAGAGGTTATCTTTTGGAGTGAACATCTTGTGTAGTTACATGCTAAGATACACCAACTTGATGGTAGAAAGTCTTGTTAAGGATGGTTTATCAGGAATCAGTTGTATTGGGGGAATAATATCCTGTGGTACTTCTATGATTCAGTTGTATTGGACCTGATACCTTGTTGTCATACCTCCTTTCTTCCCTTTTGTGCAGTGTTGTCAGTGTTGATGGTTTATTGGCCACAACTTGACTCCTCTTCCCTAACTTATGGCATTTGACTCATATTCAACTTCTTTTTCTACTATTAAAGATCTTGTTATACACACACAAACACATGCATTTGTTTGTGTACTGTCTAGGCATTGTGTTCTTCCATTCATTGGACATTCTCCTTCTTGCTGTTATTTTATTAGCTATTGTAAGTAACCATAATGAACCTATGTTTCTTTCACATTTCTAGACTTATTTTGGGATATTATTAGGTCCCAAAGCGTTTTCTATCTTCACTTTGTTGGAGTTTCTTTAACTTCAGAAACCTTAATTCTACAAAAATATCTTTATTTTAATCATTACAGAGCAAGGGATTGCAGTTTTAATGACCCTGAAAGGTGGAGTCTACTTGTTCATTGGACTCCCATTGACTTAATTGCAACTGATCTACTGATTTCTCCAAAGAACTTCATGCAGAATATGCAGAGACATTAGCTCTTTTATCATGGACTTGGACATGGCTCACAAAGGTTTCTAAGGATATGATCCATTCTGATTTTTATACCAAGTGGGAAGAGTTATTGTGCCATTATGACAAGTCTAGCGGGTGTCTTTTATCTTTTATCTTTTTTTTTTAAGCTTTGTTTGCAACAATACCATACTCCTGTCATCTCTCTTTTTATTATCCTTTTACAGTTTCTATGCATTTTAGTTTGTTACAAGTACAAGGTGTATACAAGAATGGAGTGGGGATTACAAGAAAAAATAACAGTTTCTGCAAACCAATCCAAAAAAGGATGCACAAAACCTCATTTACAAGGAAACTCTGATAGGCAGAAAAGGAAAAGACCAAATAAACAGCTCCAAGAAAAACCTCGTTCAACAYACTCTCCACCCCACAAAAAAGGAGGCAAGCTTGACTGTGGTTGTGTCAGCAAAGGCATTTTATGACAAATTAGAAATCAGTGCCTCGGTAACCATCTACTTACTTTGGTTTTGTTAACTACTCAAAGTGCAGAAAATATGTCATTCTAGATATCGAACCATCCATTCTCCTTTTGGTCCTACTGTAAGGACATGAACAGATTAACATTTGAGAATCAGTCTGTGCATCTGCATCATCAGGGTTGTTTAAATATAGTTGGATTGGGGGAGAGGGGTTAATCTTGATTATATATTTTATTGCTGAAGACAGCTTGAGTATACCAATGTTACAAGATGTGTTTGTCAATATTATTTTATTCTGTGAAACTCTGTGGTACAATAAAGTTATCAAACTATATGTGCCTTTTCTACTGATGAGAATATTATTCTTTTTCTTGAATTTGTTATTGATGCCTCTAATAGCAGTTTGTTTCTAATATGATAGCTTTTTATAAATTCATTTTCTTTAAACTTCCCTGTCTTAAGAGGGTTCTCTTTTGAAGTGATCATTGCAATAGGAGTGCTCATTATCTCTGCTTTTATCTTGCTTGTGCAGCACAGAACAATTATCACACAAGGCATCTTGCAAAGCTTTTAACTCATCTGGTCCGGTGTCTGCAAGAGTCTATGTCAACTTCTGTCGGGCCATCAACAATATATACAAAGGCTGTGAATGCAGCACATATGTCATCTGTATTTCTGAAATACTTGATTGAAAATGCTAAAAGTGATAATTTCACAGAATTGTATCTTACACTGGATGAAGGTGAAACAACAACAGAAGAATATCTCCCAAGGGGTAACTAACTGCTTTAATGATTCATTAGCTACAAATCTTCACTAAGATCATTGTCATGTGATTAGTTATGATGTAAAGATCATTGTTCAGTAAAATTGTTTTGATAGGTATAGGCAACAATAGGATTACTTGCTGAAGTAGAATCTCTTTGGTGGACATGTGGTATGACAACAAAATTCATTGGTCTAAAAGATCCACTTATTTTACTTATTAAATGATATATATCACTTTCATGTGAATACTTGTTATGAAAAGATCATCATCCAATGAAATAGGCAACAGGAGCTATACTTGCATCAARGTGGAAGCAGCCACCTTTCCTTGGTGGAATAGTTCTGGCATCAATAAATCCATCCATCCAGCAGTTGTGGCAAATTTTTATCCATGTGAAAGGTCTAATAGCTCTGGCATCAAAGAATTTCCATCAGGCTGTGAGAAACTAAGCAAGATTTCTCACTATCGTCTCTAACCAGACCAGATAGTTGTCGAGGCGTTGCCTAGGTGACTAGGCACCCTTGGTTGGGCGCCTCACCAAACACCTTGACTTATAGCAACTAGGCACCCGACTAGGCGACAAAAATGACAAGGCAGGTGCCTTTTATAATATCATTTATATTGTTTAATCTTATTAATACGTGTGTGTTAATACATTTTATTATACGCTATATATATCATTTATACCTTGTTTTAATGTTTTTCCATTGAAATTTATAAGATCAAAGGGTTTTGAGGAGAAAGAAAGAAAGAATATAAGTATAGAGAGGTTCTTTTTTTGCTCTTTCTCTCTCTTCAATTAAATAAAACAGAAATTGCATCCTTGTTTTTTTTTTCTATTTTACTTACCATCTTGAATATTTATCATATAAAGTTAATAACCTTCTTTAGCTGCTAATTGATATGAAATTGCTCTATTAAATACTTATTATAGTAGTATTATTTTTGAAAATAATGAAATTAATATATGTAAAAGATTTTTTTAATCTTTTAGATGTGATAATTTGCAACATTTTTAGTGGAAATTAATGTTCTTAATAAAGAGAATTGCTATTTTTTCAATTGATATACATGCTAAATGGTATACAAAACTAGGGAACTAGCCAAAAGCTAATTCTTTATATTATAAAATTCTTATCACCTAGGTGACTAGGCGCCACAGTGTTGCCTAGAATCGCCTAGATGCCTTGAAAACCATGCTTGATACCACTGATACCTGAAACCCCTAAGTTGAACCGTTAAAATGGAGATGTATTCATCGCTCAAAATGCAAATTTGACTAGACAAGAATATATATTTATACTCATCCACTCTTAAAATAGAGGATGAACAAATGAGGGGAAAAGTACAAGGTCTTGGATAATTTATAATGCAACCTCCTAACAATCTTTGGAGGAGGACCTTCCCAAATGGCTTTAACAGAAAAGTTGAGAGAAATATTGGTTAGTTGAGGTGTTTTAAAGAAAGAAGCAGAAGAAAAAGAATGAAAAGAGTCTGGACCCCAAATTCTCTTATCCACTCCATATAAACAAAGGAACACATATTTCAGGTCATCCAAATGGTTCATTGTTTTTATAGCTTCAGGTTCCCTCAAACCTCTACTCAGACCCAAATTTCAAGAAAACAACCCCTAATGAAAAAGAAACGAATGTAGCAGTGCTCTTATTTTTGTTATTGAAGAAGGAAAACAAAGGGGTAGGTTGACAGAGGATGTTCTCCCCACCAAAGATCTTCCAAAAGTGGCACCTCTGGTAGATCAAGAGTTCTGTCCATCTGCATGAATGCCATATTCTCTCCTGATCACTGAATGCCATAGCATATTGTCTTCAATGGGGAATCTCCACAGCCATTTCCCTAGCAAAGCAGTTTTTCCATCCCTCAATGGCTCAATCTTTCAAAATCTGTTCTTCCCTTCTCTTTATTATTTTAACAACAGGGGGTTCCAATCCTGTTCTTGTTAAGTTACTTATGAAATAAAGGTGTAGTTGCTAGTTCAACTTATTATTCCAGCAAATTAATTTGATTTACTTTGGGTTAATTTCAGTTCAGCATGTGCTGTTATTACTCAATTTTGTTTATACGATTTGCTATGCCATTTATCATAAATTATGACTTTTCAAGTTGTTAGCATCAGTTCTCTTCTACACTTCAAGTTAGTTGGGTTTACTCCGATCATGGGAAATACAATCTTGTAGTCTCTTGTCTTGACTTGGTAATTGGAGCCTGTTATTTCACCGTCCTCTAATTTTGACTTCTTTACCAATATGTTGGATCATTATATGTTTTATAGGTTTATTATATTTATGATTGTTTACTCGTTGAAAAAAAAATCTATCCTTTCTTTTTTTTTTTAATTTTTTATTGTTTTATGTAGATCAAAACCTTGAAAGTTTTGTTATGCGTGGCATGCTTAGCTTTATTGGCACATCAGATGTAAGGTATGTTATGAGATGTGATTCTTCATTAAGGCTGCATATKTTTCTTATATCTTATACGCTCCTATTCCCCCTGATCCGCTTGTGCTTCTAATTTTATGTCCTTTGTTGTTGAAGTTCTCATACGTGTCTCCTCCATCATGAACTGCTGAACTTTATGCTTGTGGCAATGTCAACTCAGCTGCATTCAGGGCCATCTCCTGGGCCAAAAGATGTGCATCCATTTATTGATGCAGCAATAGCTGAGGTGAGAAAGGAATTGGAACATTTCCTTTAGTACATGAAGAATTATGAATAACTACTGCTATGATCTCATAGTACTATACCTTCTATTTTGCAGGAAATTTCTTTGGTTAGTTCAGTTGTTCGCAGATTACTGCTTAATTATATTGCACAACCTCGCCTTCCTTTAAATGGTGCTCCTTATTCCATTTTTTCTGAAGTAGGTCAGCATGGTGTTCTTCAGAAAGTTGGTTCTGCTGCTGGTAAGAATCTATTTTTTCAGTGCTGATTGTTTTCAAGCAACTTTATTATAGTATGCTTTTGTGTTTATTTTTATGTCTTTTTCTAGCAGACAATTTGATCATATTTTAAAACCGTTCAAGTAGATAGACTTGGGTCCCCTAGATTTTTTTTCCCAGTAAACTGAGTTGAAATAAAAGGAAAATGTGAATCATACTTAGACCTGTGAAAATACAAGGAGGCATCTGATGTAGGATGAAAAGGAGAAAGTCCTACAAACAAAACTGTGGTAGGCTAAATGGAGAAAGACAATGAAATTTGTAGATTGTAGGGGAAATTAAGCTAGTGAATGGTTAAGAGTTATCTAGGATCATTATACCATGTTTAGGGAAAAGAAAACACGATAGTTCTGAAAGTGTTTAGGTATGGGAGAAAACCAGTTCCATGTGCAACCTCTAGGAGCACAAGGTGCAATCTGAAATAGATCACTTAACTATGGTATAGCAGGAAGAAGCATGTGATTTATCCATGCATGTAGTGCTTCTGGTCAAAGCACGTGATCTAGAAGGTGAGTTTGTGTGTGTGTGTGAGAGAGAGATAAACACTTAAAAGAAAAGAAAACTTGGGACCTTGGACTTAGGACAGGCCTAAGGGAGTGTGTATCTATTTTGGTTCTATTCAATTCCTTAATTTTAGAATTTGTTCTTTTGATCCCTCGGGATCATTCTCTTGTGCTTCTTCTTTTCTTGTCCTTTCCTCTCCAGTTCATTCCTCTTAGTATTTTTCCCTTCATTTTTGCTAGCAACAATTATTTCACTTAATAGAAATTTTCAGCATTAAAAAGTTTCTCTTCTTTGAATATTCCTTCTGTTGATGCTGTACAAAAAGAATAATGGTGTTGGGCCTTTTAGCATCGAGATTTGTTTCTAAGATTGCATTTGGTAAAGAATGCAAAGAAAAATATGTTCGGTTCATGAAAATGCAAACTCGGTTTGGTTTTGCATTGATAACTCTTGTATTCTTACCAAACATATTTGGTTGTGATGGGTACAAATATGAATTTCAAGATTGGAATCTACCTTTTTGGAAGCAAAATTTGCTCCCATTTTGAATGCAAAACATCACAAAAAACAAATTTACTTTCATTTTCAGTACACAAGCRTTTGTTTGCCAAACACCTGCAAAACTGAACTGGAGTGCAAATTCACTTTGGTTCAGCATTTGCACTCTTAACAAGCACACCCTAAAATTTGTCCAGGAAAAGCGTCTCCAGGCCCATTTCCTAAATCCAGCTAAGAAAAGGCATAAAAACTTGTTTCTTTGATTTTTTTTTTTTTTTCATGTGGCAACCTTGTTTCCATGCCTCTCATCATGACAATCAGATATCGAAGAATTATTTTGGACACTGTTTTTATATATTTGAACATTGGTTTTCCTTTGTGATGAGTCAATTACCTGATACTTTATGTGATGTCTCTGTAAAATGTTGGCATGTTCTTCACCTTTGCTCATGTATTTTATATTTTTGTCTTGCAGCAAATCTTGTATTATTTCCATTCAATTACTTAGTTGGTTCGAGTGGTGATGGATCTAGAAGCCCATTGGCAGAGAACAGTCTTCTTCTGTTGCTTATTCTCATACACTATCGCAAATGTGTTATGCTAGATGAATCCACAACAGATAAAAGTGAAGATAGTGCCACTTCAGATTCTCTTCTGAAAGAAACATCATACTTTTATGACAACCCTTACTGCAAAGCCTTAGAAAATGCTCGAGATATCGAATGTAAGATCATTTTTCCTATAGTACTTTTGAATGGAACAGGACTATATTTATCTATTAATCCTATATCATTGTGCAAATGACCTGCTTGCAGTTGATCGTGTTGATGTTGAGGGGAATGCACACAATGGACCACTTGTGAGATTGCCTTTTGCTTCTTTATTTGACACCCTTGGACTGTGAGTATCTATTCTTAAAGTAATTAGCTTAATCTGTAGAAAATGAAAGGAGAAAAGGCCAAACCCCCTGTCCATATGTACCAATTCTCAGGGCAATATGCCTCATAATCAAGGTTTAAGGTGTCAATACGCCTGATACGTATGAACAGGTGGATCAGGTGTTCCGATGCTTCATAACTTTTGTTTTTTTATTTTTTTTTTCAAAAATGTTTCAGGGGGTCGGTTTTAGGCTTGCCTATCCCCTGAAAGTGCCCAAATTTCAAAGCACCCCTTATTTGGGGTTTTGGAAAGCTACCAATACGATATGATACACCCGATACAGGGCATATGGTATCAAAATTTTGAACCTTGCTCACAATTATTGAAAACACACATTGAGTAGAGGAAAAGCTCATCTCATCTTCTAGTGCGCACTGGGTCTGAGTTTTCATGGTGTTTATTTTTAGCTTATTCCAGTAGCTCAATAATACCAGCTGTGTTTCTGTTGCTTTTGTCGGATCTGCAAAGTTATCTTTGCAAGATTTGGAGATCTGGAGACTGTTTTTGGGCTTTTGCTTTTGTGTACATCCCCTCCCCCTTTTTGTTCTAATGAAATATTACCTTTCCCCCCCCAAAAAAAAAAGATTTGAAGATCTGGAGATGATAGGGACCATTGCCTTGTGCCCCTTTTATGTTTTTGTTATTACTAGCATGGGAGGAATCGACATCCCAACTGTTAAGGTCATGAAGTAAGAACTGTGGAACTTTGGAATCATCAGAATAGAATAGGAATACAGAATTTAAAGGAAACTAGAAGAAAATGATGGAACGATTGATTAAATGGGGGAAGTTGATCATGTAATTCAGAGAGCTGTGGGCAAGTTGATCTCTTGGATTTCAACATCTGGGGAATTCAGAGATCTTAGTATGTCTGTTTTGTTTCAGTCTTGCTCCTGGTGGAGGTTGTAATTTTGGTTGCTTTTCAGACTGCGTTCTTGGGTCTGAATTGCAGCCTTCTTTCGCTTATGATGAATAAACTTACATTACCTTTTTCCAAAAAAAAATTAATTAAATGGGGGAAGGGAGTTGAACATCTTCTTTCTTTTTTAATGAAACTTATCCTTATTATGAAGAAAGGGGACTGAACTTTTCCCTTTATACTAGGTATTTTTTATTTCTTATTTTATTTATTTATTTATTTTTTTTTGGGGGGGGGGTGAGGTGTTCCATGTTTTGCCTTCCAATAGGTCTTCAAGTATGTCCTGACATGTATGGCCCTGTAGGTATTTGGATGAAGAGAGCTCTGTCCTGCTGCTCTACTCGTTGGTGCATGGGAACTCTGATTTTTTGGAATACGTTTTGGTGCGGACAGATTTGGACACATTGGTATGAAGCTGCAGATTGTAATTTCTATCTTGAATTGAGTAGATCTTTTTGCAAAAAAGCTGTTTGAACATTAAAATCTTTAGATCTTTTTTCAAGAATTTTCAAAGGAAAGTCTTATAATACATTTTTTGATAAGAAAAAATCTTTTTGTAAATTATAGTTGAGTTTTTTGATGTATAAGGGCTATATGCATTTATACCCCCTTATACAGATTCTCGTTGTACAGGGGATTTCTTGTACTTTTTTGTTATATTTAATAAAATACTTTACAGTTCCAAAAAAAGTCTTTGTATCTTTTTGATAATATTTTATTCATGTGGCTGTGCCTTTTGATCCAGTGTTTTGAAAGCGCAATGGCTATTTTGCACCCAAGGTGCAAGGCGAGGCACATGCCTTGTTGAAGCTAGGTGCAAAATTAAAAAAGTAAAAATAAAAAAGTAAAATATTCAAAATAAATTAAGAAAATATTAGAAATAAGACTGATTAAAAATATAAACTTTAATTTTAAATTGAACGATATAAAAAGCCTATTAACTCAAATTAAAATACATAAGCATAACATATAAAACATATTCAAAGTGAAATGCAAAAATAAAATTAAAAATAGCATAGGAAACATATTCAAGCATGTCAAACTTTTAATTTCGTTATTTCTTTCCCAATTGCATTTTTTCAAATAACCAATGTGATATTAATCATCTTTCATTCCTAATTCCACAAGCCACCTTTATATCAAACCCCTCGAGGCAAGCCCAAACAAATCTATGTTATCCTATTAGGGTCTTAAATTCTTACTGGAGCTCTGAGAATCCCCTATTTGCTAATGCTGTTTATTCATCCAGCCCTATAGAAGATAATTAAAATTATAAAATCATTTTTTGTAGGGATTAAGAATTTAAGACCCTAACATGTTGTTTATTCATCCAGCCCAACTGCCTGGGCTGAAGCTTAAGGCACACCAAGTGTATGCCTAGGCACACCTGGCACACGTTTTGAAAGTGCTGCCCCTGGGTCCTAGGCGAGGCATATACCTTAAAATGCACCTTGCCGGAGTGCTTAGGCGTGCCTTTTAAATCACTGTTTTGATCATTCACAAAATGAAGCCACTCACTTTTCATATTTGATAGATGATATTCCTTTTTCCCCAATTTTTTGGAGAACTTTGAGATTCTTTTTTTTTTGTACTAAAAAATCTTGTGATGTTTAAATTATCCTTTTGGTCTAAAATGAACTTGTAATCTATATTACCCGGATTCGGCAAGGACATGGCTGGATATGGTACAGATGCAAAATGTACACTAAAAGTTGAAGCATCAGACACAAACAGCACCTTGTACAGGTATCCGGGTATCGTAGGTTGTGTTGCATTTGTTTGTAGCTCAACTGCCTTTGAGTTTGGTTATATTTTGAGGATGCTTCTAATTTGTGAGCTAGCAGTTCATCTGCAAAGTTGACAATGTGAAATTTGTTGGAGCCTCAGCTAATTGGAATTATTTATTTGTGTGGCAATGGAATCAACAGCTGATGCCTATTCTTGAAACACTTTACAATGCTTCAAGGAGGACGTCTAATCAAATCTACATGTTGCTGATTATCCTTCTCATACTAAGTCAGGATTCATCTTTCAATGCTAGCATCCACAAGCTGGTAAGAATTGCCTCAATCTGACGATGTACATATTCATTATGTTCAGGTTCTAATTATATTTTTTGCACTTTTATAGATACTGCCTAATGTTCCATGGTACCAAGAACGCCTCCTCAACCACACATCTCTTGGTTCTCTGATGGTCATAATACTCATAAGGACTGTGAAGTACAACCTATCTAAGCTGCGGGTATGGCTTGAAACATCCATCTATGCTGATTGCTTTGCATGTATTTGCTGCCATTTTTTTTTCTTTGTGTGCGTGTGTGTGTGTGTTTGTGAATGTTGCAGCATATCTAAGCTGTGGATATGGCTTGAAACATTCATCTATGCTGTATGTATTTTCTGCCAGTTCTTTTTTCTGTACATGTGTGTGTGTGTGCGTGTGTGATGTTCTCTTTTTCCCAGTCCTTTTGGATTTTCTTCCTTATGTATGTATATGGCATTAATGAATTTTGATTAGAGCCAAGCATTTCATTTGAAGATTTGTTAGTCAATAATTTATTACCAGAATGGGATCTGTATTATTTTGACCTTTAAAACTGTTGACAGGATGTATACCTCCACACAAATTGTCTTGCAACTCTGGCAAACATGGCACCACATGTTCACAGGTTGAGTGCATATGCATCACAGAGGCTGGTTAGCCTTTTTGATATGCTTTCTCGCAAGTATGTCACTCCTTTATTAACTATGAACAGTTTTAATTGATAGATAGAGATTGCATTTCTATTAGATGCCGACACGGCTTTCTTTCTGTGAAAACATAATTTGGTTTTTTATGTTCTACTGGATTTTAAAATTGCAATCTTCCATCCAGGTATAACAAATTAGCAGAGCTAAGAAATGATAAGATGGTAATGACCAAGGCCAACTCAGTAGGAGGAAGCATTGCAGAAGATATGGTAGTTACTTTATGGGCTTTATCTTTGAAATGCTTTGATCTTAGCAGTGTTTTTTTTGGCCATCACTTCCCTCTTCTTTCTTTTTCTAGCTAATTTTTTTTTTTGGATTTCTTGTAGTCAACGGAGCTGCACATTTATACCGACTTCCTAAGAATTGTACTAGAAATCTTGAATGCAATCCTTACATATGCCTTGCCTCGGAATCCTGAGGTATCATCTATTGATATGATAATTGTTGATCCGATATTAAAATATGTGAATAATCTTGGGATGTTTGTAATATTCATCATTTTTCTGATTGCAGGTTGTATATGCAATAATGCACCGTCAGGAGGTATTTCAGCCTTTCAAGAATCACCCACGCTTTAATGAGCTTCTTGAAAATATTTACACTGTATGGTACTTAGTCCTTTACTTGCAGTAAATTGATGTTTACCTCCATTAAAAAACTCATGCTGCTTAACGAAAAAACTCTATTTAACAAATGGTGCAATGTAACATGTTAAACTACTATGGGTAATGATTCTCCTGAGATTTGAAGATTGCTCAATTTCTTTCAATAAATCTCATTCTTGATAATATAGCTGGTTTTTATTCTGATGTTCTACTTCTTTAGGTGCTAGATTTCTTCAATAGTCGAATGGATTCTCAGAGAATGGATGGTGAATGGTCAGTGGAAAAAGTCCTCCAAGTTATAATCATCAACTGCCGATCTTGGCGAGGTGAAGGGATGAAGGTGAAATGCCATTTATTCAATTGGAGGTCAATTTTATTTGTGTAAATATGTGGTCTATGTTTCACTTGTAACTGGAACATCTTTCTTTTCTGCAGATGTTTACTCAATTGCGATTTACATATGAGCAAGAGAATCATCCAGAAGAGTTCTTTATTCCATATGTGTGGCAGCTAGTGCTATCTCGCTGGTATTATTCCTTGATGTTCTGTCTTTTGGGTTGCTAGTTCTGCTGTCTGCTTTTATGCTTTACTTTTAGGAAGATCCACTTGGTTTCTCAACTTACCAAACTTGGAAATAACATGAATTTGAATATATGTAAACTACTTTTCTTTGTTATGTGGTTTCTAATAACCATCATTTTACTTCAATAACTGTATATTTTTAATGCAAATAAATGTGTAACCACGTTGTGCAGTCCAGTTTAATACCACCATTGATTAAGTTAGATTAGTTCCTTTACATATTGCATATGATTCCACTAATATGCTGCTTATCCATGCCTTTGATGTCATTTTTCTTTTGCTCAGCAGCTTCAGTTTTAATCCTGGTGCCATAAATTTGTTCCCAGTTGATATGCCTGTAGAAGTAAGTATGCTGTTCCTCTTCAAATTTTTAGAAAATCATATTTCCATGAAATTATGTGTGACATACACTTTTTTGGTCACTAGTTAAACGTACTACACTTTTTGAGCACCTTTTACGGGACTTAAGTAATGTTATTACTCTAGTATTACTATCTTGTTTCCTAATTATTTTCAATGGCACTCAGAGCTGTTGTGTTGTTTATTGTCTTACAAATGATGGTATATATTTCTTCAGGAGAAATAGTTTCCACTGAAATATACTTTGTTGCAGCATGTCTGTCTAATGCCCTCCATCCATCTTATTAGCTTTTCACGGGAAACCTTTGCAACTTCTGATGTCAAATACTTTTCAAAAAGTAACTGTTAACCTTTTCCCTTATCTGGTTGCACATTTAAGTTTGTCACAATATGACATCTAATTTGTCAACTTCCTACAAGAGTTCCTATTTCCCATTATTAGTGTTTCTTCTGTTAATATAAGGTCCGCATTGCCTAAGGTGACTAGTATGAATTGGGAACCAATTAGCTGCATTGCCTAAAGTGTATGTGGCCCATAACCACTCAATGTCTCACTTGCACTAGTGTGGAACAGAATGATTGGTCCCACAGCCAGTAAACCAACCATCAAAAAAAAGTTTTTTTTTTTTTTTTATCAATAACAGATTCATTCAATTCATTGAAATATCAAACTATTTATAGCAAGGAAGACAAAAACTCTTATCATCCGAGTACAACTTAAACCCTCCAAAGAAAGAAACAAGGAAACAAAAGAAACAATTAAGTTACAGCTTAGCCCAAAACATATCTTCCCTTTCTATCCCTTGATTAGCTAATCCACCAGCCAAAGAGTTAGCTGATCTCTTAACCCAACGCATCTTGATTTCCATCTCCCACATCAGCCACCTGAATTTCCTCTTTTCATTTCTGTAATTCCATAAACCATAGTTGTCTTTAATCAGCCACCTTATCACTACCTCCGAGTCCCCTTCAATTATGAGTTTCTTGACATTCAACTCCTTGGCTTTCTGAACTCCTTCCATAACTGCCAAGATCTCAGCTCTAAGGGAATCCCCCACACCAATTGGGCCTGAGAACAGGGCAGAAATGACCCCGTTCTCATCCCTAATAACACCTCCAATCCCTGATTGTCCCGGGTTCCCCCTACAACTCCCATCAAAATTTAACTTTAAGAAGCCAGCAAGTGGGGGAGTCCAAGACACCCTACCCTTATTACTGGTTTGATCTGAGTKCAGTTTACAATCTCACCCCACTTTCTCAGCATGTCTTCCACTGTGTAGTTTGTAAATAGCTCTAGTGATTTCAGCCACTGTACTGCCCTTATGTGGATCACAACCTTCACATCTTCAGCCCCTCTCTCATTTTCCGAGAAGGTCCTAGTATTTCTTTCTTCCCATAATGTCCAACATACTACAGCCCTCAGACCTTTCCACATAGACCTTCCCCTTTTCATGTGCCACCTGAAAAAGGAAGGGGAAAATAGGCTCTGCAAGTCTGATGGAGGGTTCCGCCTACACCCAAGAGAGAACAAGCCCACTCCCAAATTGACTTTGCAAATTGGCAAGACACTAGTAAGTGAAAACCAGTCTCCCCATCCGCTTTGCAAAGAACACACCAATGAGGTGACAAATAAGTATTGGGTCTCTTCTTTTGGAGCAAATCCCCAGTGTTGTATCTTTCCAAATAGGCTTCCTAACAAAAACTACCAACCCTAGAAGGAATCGGTCTGCACCAAACCTCACTAATCGGGAAAGGGGAGGTTGCAGGACTGGTGGACTGGCAAAGGACTTTGAAGAAGGAAGCACAAGAAAAAGAGTCTGTGGGGGTAGGGGTCCAAATTCTAGAGTCCACCATAGAAGGGTCCAAGAAAACATTATCAAGAAGTTCAAAGAGGTTTGAAATACAATCAAGGTCTGAGTCCCTCACAGCCCTCCTCAGACCCAGGTTCCACCCAACTATCAAATTCAGCTAATCCATTCTCATATGAATACTGGTCCAAGCCATTCACAGCTATGAATCCCGTCTTGCCATTGTATTCTTATCAGAGAACCGACTAATGATACAGAAGGAGAAAAAGCATAGCATGTCATGGAACTAAAGGACATGGTATCTGGCTTTTATGAATGCAACTTTAACCTCTACATAACTCTGGAACCAGAGGTGACTGACCCAAATTCAGTCAGTGATTCGTTATCATGTTCTCTTATGGTTTTAGTGCTCAAAACATTATCAATTGTGAGCTCCTTGATTCTCTAGACTTGATTTAGCATCCAAGTCCAGTTGTAACATGCCCTAAAAAGCTTGGTTGGTTTCAGTGTCACTCTTTTAGGCTTCTAATCTTGCACTTTCTTCAGATGCCCTTTGTGCTCTTTTCTGCAGTTATCCATCTTTTGGGTTGTCCAGCAGTGTTCAGACTTTATTGTAGTCTGTTTGTTGCTATCTCGTTTTGTGTTGTTTCTTTTTCCACTTTTCAAATGAAACTGAGTAGTAGTATTGTTTTCAAGGTTATCAGTGTGCATAATCTAGTTCTTAGAAAAGAAGTCTGGTTCTGCGATAATATAGTAATTATTTTGATTTCTAAACCAAGTAGATCCAGAATATAGGTTGTGTAATAAATATGGATCTGTGTTAAATAAGATGAAAAGAACATTTTCTGCCTTGAAAACAGGATGCTGATGCCAAAGAGGAAGCTGACAGGCATCAAGATGGTGAGTTGAACGTCGTCGTATGAGGAGGTTACCTGGATGCGTTGTATGGGGTGTTTGAGCTTCCGTCTGTCAGAAGGTGCTCCTTGGTGAATATGTAAATACGTGCAATAGCAGAAAGTATTCTTCTCATTCTTTTCTGTTTATATGTTGATGTGAAACTGACAGTGTTGAGGGCCTTTCCATATAGAAATTGATGTTATATCAATCATTGTATTGAATAAATGAGAGAGGAGAGAGAGGTTGCTCATGCTATTCCATAACACGGGATGTCATCCTTACAAAGATAAATAAGCCAAGCCGGACGTTCTTTCTCTGCCCTTACGCCTTGGAACTTGGAAGTTGGAAGTGCTTTCACACCTATATGAGATTAAAAGGTAAATAAATTTGGAATTTACTCAACTAAGCTAAATACATATAGCTTCTGCCCTGCTGTTATCCTTGTATTAGTGGGATCTACACTGATATAGAAATGTTACCATATTTATATCGGTTGTTTTAAGAAAGTGTATGGGAAATGCACTGTTCGTATTTGTAAGTTRCAATAGTTATGTTCCACCTGTTTAGAAGAGAGTCGGTCCTGCTCGTTTTTTCTTATATATCATATCAATAAGAATGCATGGATGACGGTTCTCAACTTATTAGGTATTAATTAATTACCTTTGAGAGTACTATAATTCCTGATGTGATTATATTCTAGTGATGGCTGATGGTATGGTCATGGGATGTTCTTTTAGTTGGGCAAATGGGTATTAATATCGAGCTGGCTCGTCAGCCTCACGAGCCGAGTTATAGTAGGTTCGAGCTCGGCTCCTTTCATAATCAAGCCAATGAATCGAGCTTGAACAGCTCATGAAAAGTTTGGCTCGTTGCCACCCCTATTAGATAGGTACCTAAAGGTCAATTGATAATATTAGCCTTGCTAGTTCATTAGGCTAACAAAGGGGGCCTTTTTGTTACTATGTATGATTTTTGTTTTTTGAAAGCAAAAGGGATTATAGATAATAAGGGCAACTTTTGGGCCCTAATATCAATAAAAGTAATATTTTTAAAGAATTTTCAAAAATAAGTTAACTTTTTTAAAATAATATATCAATTTAGGGCAAAAATACTGTTTATCTTCTTCATCTTGCAAGTCCAGCTTCACCTCCACTTCCGGCAACGTTGCCAGAGGATGAAGATGAACAATGCTTTTGCTCTTTATTGATATTATTTTTAAAAAGTTAACGTATTTTTTTAAAAGTATTATTTTTATTGATATTAGAACTCTAAAGTTGCCTTTATACTATAATCCCAAAACAAAAACCATTGCCAATTCAACAAAATCTATTGTATTTTTTTGATGTGGCAGCTATTTTGTTGTTTTGAAAAAACAAAATCACACGAGTGTCTGAATCAAATGCAAATCTGATTAAACCAGTATGATAATTTTACAAACCCAACTGGCCAGCCGAGCCGTAGCTCCATATTTTAATCGAAAGGTTTGTGACTCAAATAAGGGATCGTCACCCGAGGGAACCTTCTGAAGAATCTGAACTTCTGATCATCAATGGAGGGAAGGTGAATCATTTGAGGCTTTGAGCACATCCTATTTAGGGGGTGGGGGCTGGGGCGCAGACACTAGTCACTACATTATTAATTTTTTATTGATCATTAATCAATACGGAAATCTTGATAAGAAGGGTTTTTTATGGTTCAGTAGGGTAATAGGGTGGACTGAACCATATTGCTAGAGTTAGCTGTCTGTAACAACCAACAAGAAATGCTGATAAAAAAAAAAAACCTACAAGAAAGAAATTAAATAATCATGTAGCCATTATTGCTATTTGCCACACTGATGCGGGTGGTCAGTGATCATATCGATTACGACGTGCATGTTCTTTGTCATGCAACTTTTGGACACGTGGAAAGTAGAATGCAGCTTTTGTTGCCATATCAGCCTAAAAACATTCATGGAGGCACGTGATCCAGCACGTGTCTCAGGCCAAGATTACCATGCCAGCACCCGTGACGTGTCAGTTCTATCTTTCTTGAGATCCCCTATCGATAGGTGTCGGACCATTGTCCTTCAAATTTAAAATTCTTATACCCTACAATTAGTTTCATTTTTGTTTTTTGTTTCAGGGTTTTTTCTGAGCTCCCCTATGCCAAGGTCCTGTTTGGAATAAGACGGACATTCTGGCTCTCAATGGGACCCACATCCCACGGAGGTTCGACAGAATTGGGACTTCGGTGAAAGGATCGGCTGTACCCAAAATCACCCAAGCAACCACCATCAGTTGTGCCAACAGATCAAACTTCCCATCAATGAAGGATCTTTGAGTCTAGATACCAACCGAGCGGTAAAAGCCTCCACATGCATGCACTTAGGCAAGGATTTGATCCGGCTTATGGGTTATTGTCAATTAATCAGGTCACTACAGAATGCGGGCCCATGGCGGGACCACCTGTTGTTCATCTATTGGGCCTCAGTTTCAACTTCAGGATCATTGAAATAGGAACCGGAGCTCATCTCAAGGACCTGAAGTTGGGTAGTTGTAATTCAGTCTTGCATAAGTGTGGATTCAGAAGGGCCCGTGAAGGTTTGGCCCACGATTTTTTGTTTTCCCATTCATCAAGCTATCTCTGGAGAATATCTTCATAGAAAAATTAACTATAACAAAAGATATTCCGATGCTGGATTAACTGCCAGACATTCGAATTCATTGTACTCTCTCTCTCCCTCTCTCCCCAAAAGGTGAGAACTCTAGATGTAAACCTTATCTAATTAATAAAGGTTCACACATGAATGCAAGAAGTTCTTATTGGGCTGATGCTGTAAAAACTGCCATGTCTAAGATTTTGGAGTTGGCTAGATTTTTTCTCTTGGATATTTGACAGACTAGAATTGCACACGATGGTCGAACCAGTCAGGTCGGGAATGGGAGCCAAAATGATTTTTTGGGTTGTCTGGTTCTTAGATATGTTGATTTGATCAGACTTGACCCAAATACTTATCCTAACAAGTTTTATAACCATAACATTTATTGTTTTAACCTTACTTTGGTGTAAATTAATTAGGTTTAAAAGATAATCAGGAATTATTTTCAAATTTATATTACTAATGATATTTTTATTTGGGGAAGTCGTTGAGTGGTCAAAGAAAACGATTGATCGGACCTGCTCCTCACGCAACGTGTTTCACACTGGCCTCACAGGCACATTCCACGTGCAGTGGGAATATCTCCCATGAATAATAACTTATAAGTACGAGAGATGTTCCCGATACATGGTAGRATGTGTCTGTAAGATCGGTGAAGAGCAGATCCGGTTTCAAATATGATAACGTTGATTAATTTGTCCAGCAAATGTATAGTTAATCTAGTCAAAGTTCTATCAAGTTGGTTGGTGAATTTTTTCACCAAATTGTCATTCTTGTTTTAGCATCAAGGAGGATGATGTGGTGTTCCTAAATTCTATCAAGTATGGATCAGGGTGTTGAACAAAAAGACAAAAAAAAAAGGTGGCTGGGTGGATGATGGATCAACCTGGGTTAAAAAAAAAAGAAAAATTTTAGACCTGGGTTGGTTCAGACTGTCATGGCTGATCCAATTCAACCTCCGCTATTGGCTCAAATCACTGCATGTCTGCAATCGGGTCTTAAGTAAGAAAAGGTTTAGACAAAGATAAATTCTACTGATGCAACATACTCTTTTAGGCTATGTTTGGTTTGAAGGAAAAAGTAGAAAAAGGAAGGAAAATGTARGAAAACCTATAAAAAGTTTGTAGGTTTTCCTACCTTTCCCTTCCTTTTCCTACTCTTTTCTTTAAACCAAACACAGCCTTAGTGAATACTTAGGAGCAGCAGACAATAAGTTGAAAACTGCTGGGAAAAAGATGATAGATTACAAGCAGAATATGTTTGAATAAAAATGATGCAATTTTGTCTGGTGACTCCATAGAGGCTTAATTTCAAACATCTTTTTTGCATATATGAAAATTATAGGAAAATCTTATCTACCCATCTCTAGATGTTCATGCTGAAAGTTAGGAGTTCATCCGATTATATAACCATTACTGACTGAGCATTTTAGAATGAAAAGAATGGAATTTTTCAAACCGCCCAACCTTGTCAGACCTATCTCTTTGGTTTCTGATTGGAAATTCAGAACTGAACTGAGTAGCATGAACAAGCAAGCCAGCGGGAAGGGGGTTACTAAAGAACTGGGGCATGGCAAAATCAATCAAAACGCCATTACCCAATGTTTTTTTGTCCCAGATGTCTTGGGTCTTGGGATGGATGGACGGAATATAGACTTAATTTTTGGCGTCTTCTCTCTTTTTTTTTTTTGTGCAAAGTGTCTGCTCTCAGACTGGAACCCACATTCTCATGCTTGTCAGCCATTAATTTTACCATTATACCTATCAATGGGCCCATAAAAACAAGAAAAAAACTGTAATAATACTGTAATTTGGTCACTGGGAGGTCAGACTGTAATCATGAATTCAATGAAATGAGCTCCATGTCTCTTTAACACTTTTAATTAAAAGGGTTGCGTTGTATATATATAAAAGCCTAATCCTTATCTTACCTAGTAAGTGAAGGAACAAAAATGGCTAAGTGTTATAATAATTACCTTCACAAGACCAACACAATATTATTAGAGAATCCTCTTGGTCTTAACACTCAAAAATAAGAAACCTGAAATGTACATAGGATGATCTTAATTGTTCAATGACCAAGACAATTTTCTTTCTTATAGGCTTCAATTGGTCTCACATATTTCCCAACTAGGGAAAAACAAAAAGACAAAAACTATCTGCAATAAGCCGGACTTACCAGTGATATGCTCTCTAGTGCAAATAGAAGCACTGACTTACATAGGATTCCAGAGGAATTAATAGAGCAACACATAAAATTGGAACCCATACGGATTAGAGGGTTCCCTAAAAGAAAAACAAAATTCTTTACAATGATGAACTTTACACAAAATTTCTGGTAATCATCTTATCTTCTTTATGGATGTCTACATGGCTCTGGGTCTAGGTCTGGAATAAAAAAAGTGAAAAAGATATAAAGATGAAGAGGCCTTCAAAATTCCCATGCATGGTGGGGTTAAGCTTGGACGCTTTCACCATGCACTGGGATGCAAGAGAATAAGTAACAAAAGCAATAGAGGATGAAACACACAAAATAATTATAATCGGAGAAACAAAGAAAATCTTTAGAAAAATTAATAATTTCCATCAAACCATGCAATTAATCTTTTTTTTTTTCAAAATAGAATATCCTTTTCTAGGATAAAGTATATATGTATACAGAGGCATGCATCATCATTCATTTAATTCTAGCTTGTGATCCTTGAAGAGGTTAGGAACTTAGGACTTGGGATGCATCAAAGAAATGCTAAGTCTCAATTTAGATAACCAGGCATTACTCATATTATCTAAAAAAGGATTAAATTAAAAGAAGAAAAATAAATTAAGGGGTATTAAAAAAGGATGAATTAGTTACAGGTGGGGGGGGAGGTAATAAAGGTGAAAACCCTATAGCAAGATAACAGCTTAAGCTAGGAGTATGGTGAAAATATACTATTAAAATAACAGCTTAAGATGAGAGCAAACCAATGAATCAATCATGTTCATAGTGAGATGTTGAAAAGTCAGTGAGGGCCTCCCCCCATTGCCTTTACCACCCCAAGCTTTTTAAGCTTCTCCTAATCTTCTCGTAATAAGCAACCTCTCCTTTTGATCTCATTCCATTGAAATCAAGGTCCTTTTGAGGTTTGGGTGTTTTATAACAGGAGCAAACGAAAAGACAGAAAGTGCCCACGTCAGATTTTGAGAATAAAAAATGCATAATATGCTGAATCAAGAGAAGAGGTGGGGTGAGATTCCTGCTCTCTCTCTCTCTGAATTTGTTACTTTTTGTGGTTTCCTGGTCATTTTCTCGTCTGAGTTTCTTTATTGAATTTTCTCTAATTTGCCAACCCTTGTTATTAGTCTGCCATTGCAATCATCATTTCTTTTGTCTTAGCAGAAAAAGAAAAACACCATCCGTCAAATACGAATTAATGAAATTCAGTCGTTCTTTGTTTACTTGTATATATAGATTGCAGAAACAAAGGAGAGGGTTAATGGGTAGTACAGTTTGGATGAGAAAATATCTTATTATCCAGTTTTTTCCATGTTTGATTGCATGGTGGGCCTCATGGGTTTGAGAGAGTTGGAAAGAGGTTTCTCATTTGTGTTGCAGAGTTGCTCAGACAAGCAATCCAGGAGCGGATAGCGACTCTAGGGTGATCGTAATAATCTTCTCGTCACGAGATTTTCTTTTGACACTCATCAAATGATGCCTTTCTATGTCTAGATATCACTGCCACCTGTGCATAAGAATGGTTGTATTCTGCTGTATACAAAGCTATGATTTCTACTTCGCTGTTGTTTCATATGTAAAGCCGATCAAGCAATAATCACCAAGTGAAGAAATAAACCCAGTAAACAAAGGGATCCGACTGCTATTGCCTTTGGTTTGAATTTCTTTTGTTTAAGTTGTATTCACAGGCATGTTGCTTGCAACCATGTCCAATTCGACCTCTTTGTCTGAGGATGCTAGTGTTTCGTCTGGTACTAGAGTTCAAGACTTGAGCAGTTTAATAAATCCTATCTCGTCTTCCATTTCTCCTCAGCAGCAACAGAAGATCAAGAAGAAGAGAAATCTTCCAGGAAACCCGGGTAAAGGTTCTTCCTTCTTTAATGCATTAGGTCCCTTCCTGATTTTAATCTCCCTATATCTATGTATTTCGTTTGATGGTTTCAGACCCAGATGCTGAAGTGATTGTTTTATCTCCTAAGACACTGTTGGCCACCAACAGATTCGTGTGTGAAATCTGCAACAAGGGTTTTCAGAGAGATCAGAACCTTCAGCTTCACAGGAGAGGCCATAACCTTCCATGGAAGCTGAGGCAGAGAACCAGCAAAGAGATGAGAAAGAGAGTCTATGTGTGTCCAGAGCCCTCGTGTGTTCACCACCACCCTTCAAGGGCCCTTGGTGACCTCACAGGAATCAAGAAACACTTCTGCAGAAAACATGGAGAGAAGAAATGGAAGTGTGAGAAATGCTCTAAGAGATATGCAGTTCAATCAGATTGGAAGGCTCATTCAAAAACCTGTGGCACAAGACAATATAGATGTGACTGTGGAACCATTTTCTCCAGGTAAATGTTTTTTGTTTCCCTTTTCTCTTTTAAATTATATGTTCTTTTGGGTCTGTCTGTCCGTTTGTTAAGATCCCAATCTTCCCTCCTTTTATCAGTTATGGTGTTTCTCATCTCTTCACTCTTTTAGGATATTAGTCCCTTTTCTTGCAATTTATGTCTTTAGAACGTTCTTTGTTTTTGGTTTCGAGGAACTTTGTTTTGGGGTTGTTCCTACTTCCTTCAAGTGTCTGTTGAAGAAGAGAGAAATTAAAGTTAAGATTAAAATCCATCTAAGACATACAAAGAGAAGGAAAAAGAAACCTGCATAAACTCTTCCTACCTGTGATTTAATGGCTACTTTTTGTCTTCTCTCCAGTTCTCCAGCTGACTCCTGTCCTATATCTTGATGCATGCGTTTCTTCTTTCTTGTTGTATGTATGCATGGGACTTCGGGGTCAAAAAGTCAATCAAAACCCATTAATATCTCTGCTGCCCATGCTCACGAAGAAAAACACCATATTCTCTCATACCCATTGGCCTTACTTGGTCGTTTCATTCGAGGTTTTCTTTTGCTTTTTTTTACTGTTGGTACTTGAAGGTATCAGGTATGGAGTGTCTGCAACCTTAAGAGAAATGATGAAAGTTCTACTCTAGTCAAAGAAAAGTAAAACTTTTAATTCTTTTTTCTTTTAATTTTGATTTTCTTGAAACTTCATGGTTATAGAAAGTCCGTGATTTGATGTTCATGATGCCTAGCATTATTTACCTACAGATAACAGGCTCTCAGAGCTCCCTGAATCAGAACTATATACACATATAATCATGGCAACTGATAAATCTGCAATATGTGATGTCTAGACTCTTCAATTTTATAGTTTATTTTGACGTCTAGGTCATTCTTCCATTAACGACTCTTAAAGACCCTTTCCCTTGTATATTAAATATTTAAGATTTATGAAGCCATAATTCTGTGGGAGCTGGACTCTCTCCATTAATTTCTCAAGCAAGCATTATTAGCTTCTCAGCCTTTTCCTATCCTACAGGAGAATGAATAAGACCTCTTTTTCATGCATGGGGCTTTTCTCCCTTTTACCGTACCAGAGAATTAGGAACTAGGAAGACCTCTCATCCATTAGAATATTATTCTGTTTTATTTTATTTTTTTTGACCTGAATATTATTCTGTGTTCAAGTGTGACATTCCCACTTTTCATGCATGGCAGCTGTTTGCTATTATTCTCTTCACTAAGTTGACAACAATGAAAAGCATCTGCACTCTGCAATAGTCTGTCCCCCTAAAATCTTAAGCTTCATATGGCCTTTCTGTCTTTTCTTATAATCATAATGAATTATAACTCCATTATTCTCTTTGGCTTGTTTACTTCTTAACTGCAAAAGTATAAAAAAATGTAAAAACTAATTATATCTATACTTCATATGTGCATGAATATATCTTTCTTTTGTTGTTTTCCCTTTACTAGCTAGTTGCAGTAAACCTGTTGTGTTCATCATAGCAAAATCCATGGACTTATCCATTTGTTTCTTTTAGGCTTTTAGAGTTTTAGTTTTAGAGGTCTGTAAACCRCCCAATAGTTTTGATGGACCAGTTAAAAACAGAAAATGAATAACAAAATAGAAAGTTCAATCTCTAAATTGTAGAGTTTACTTTACCAACCCCTTTTTAGTTACTGTGTTTCTGATATTTTGTACAGGAAAGACAGCTTCTTTACTCATAGAGCCTTCTGTGATGCCTTGGCAGAAGAGAGTGCAAGACTCTCCAGAAACCTATCAGAACATCCCCTCCATCTCCACCCACAAAACCCAACTCCTCTCTTCCCATTCTTAACTCAACCACAGAACTTCCCAAACCAGACATCCCAGATCGACCCACCTCACAATCCAAACTCTACTCAAAACCCAGTTCAAATCAAGGCCGAGGCTCATCATCATCATCATCAGCAGCAGCATCAAATCCCAACCATCTCTCCCCCTCCATTGTTCTACGATCAACCATCCCATAAACAGTTGATTGCATCACCCTTACAACACCACCTTCAGATGGCCACCGACAACCCCAACAGCAAAACCAACACAGCTCATATGTCGGCCACTGCGCTGCTTCAAAAGGCTGCGAATTTTGGTGCAGCGGCCCTTTCAAGCGCCACACAAACTCAACCAGTGGGTCATCATATTACGTCCTCCATCAAACGGTTGGACGAGTATGGGAAAAGGAACCATGTGGGATTCCCGTTAGAAAATCTAGCCACGTGGCAGAAGAATAGCCGTCTGACTCGAGACTTTCTGGGACTAACAGGGGATTGTGAGGGTGGTATCAACGTTAAAGACCTGTTATCATTCGCGGGGGGCGTTGAATTCACTCCTTACGACCGAGACGTCTCGTTGTTGATTGCTGAACATGCTACCTCGGGAAAGTGGGGTGGTGACTATGGTAGTAGAATTGAAGGCTGAGGCTGATCACTGATGGCTGAACCCAAAATGAGGGCTAAAACATTAATATTGGTAAAACTCTGGGAACGGAGATGGCCCTCCCTTTGTTGAGAATGACAAAGTTGTCCATAATGTCACTCCTTATCTACTTGGTTAAATTTTACAAAATTCACTGTTTCTTATATTTTCTTTTTTTTTTCCTTGTAAGTGGCATTGTTTTAATAACTTAGTAAAGCTTTGTCTAAAGTGATCTGATCATCTTCCGGCCAAAAACAGTGATCTCTGCTTAGTCAATTTGGAGGAAAGAGATATTCAGTGAAAAAAAACACACACACACACACTCACAAATGAGAAGAGAGCCATTTTCTAATGAGAAACTTGTACGTGCATGGCCCGCCTGAACAGTACACGCTTTACTTTTGGAAACAACTTTGACTCCAATTATTGTTTACGGGTAATTTTAAGGCTCATTTGATTTGCGGGAATACGTCTGGGCCATTCTCATTCAAATTGTTAGGTTGGAGGGAATCGAAACTTTATTTCCATTCATGGTGAAATAGCATTTCCACATTTGAGGAAATGCCATTTCCTCCCCTTTCCTTAGGAATGAAATACCATTACAGTTGATTCCAGTAGTTCCTTTACGTATGAATCAAACAGATGGGAATAGACCATTCGGATTCTAATTTTGAAGGATTGTGATTCCAATTTTGACTATAAACCAAATAGACTCTTGGATTGTATTTGATACTATTGTTGTTTCTACCTGAAACATTTCGGGTCGATCAATACAAATTGTTGAAAGATATGTATTATCACATCACATGTGAGATTTATTTCAGAAAGATTGATTAGACTTCAATACCTTGGAGTAAGAAAACACCAATTTGATGTTTCTAAAAACAGCCTCTCACATGCATTTTTAAATAGGACCCTTTCTTCTTTGTGCTCACAGAGGATGCTTTACATCCTTCATTGAATGAACCAAGAGAAACCCATTTTATTGGGGGTCATGTGCCTCATGTCTTGAATGGGCCTTAACATTAGAAACGAGGGTTGTTTGAATGCATCTTTCAACGGAAGCAGTGAATTTTGGGCAAATTTTGTGAGATTCAAACCCTTGAACATGCATGCATGCATATCTATATAGAGTTTGTCGAGGCTTATGTCTACTGCAAGTCTGCAACCACCTTTGCAGCAGTTTCTTGCAGCCTCTAATGAAACGCAAATATCATTGTTGATTGTTTTAAATTCAAAGAAAAACTCAATCAATGGTTTGAAATTAAGACTGTTTTTGTTTTCAGTGCAAAAACTTTTCCTCTCGGTCTGTATTTTCACATGTTTGTTTTTAATGTAAACTTTTCCTTCGATATCAATGTAAATACTATATTGATTTATTATTTACATCAATTATCACATTTTAAAAAGTTCCAACGGTTCACTCATTTTAAACTCAATGGTCACAAACACAGCCTAATAGGACAATAACCGGATGCATACCATAGTAATTTGCATTTTCATCATTTGAACCTTTTTTGAGAGGTGGGGGATTTATGGTTTGTCCCACCTTATAAATTTTTACCAAAACTCCATTAGTCCCAATATATAGTTTTCCTTATATTGATAGATTCCCTCAATGTCATTATTCTTAACTGTACAATTTATGAGGTAGGAATTAAATTGATAAAAATCCCGTTTTTTTTTTTTTTTGTTTAACAATTATACAATTCAGAGAATACAATCTGAGTAATGCAAGAAACAAAGTAATTTTCTTTTTTCCTTTTAGTTTTTTTGGAAGCAACGCAACTAAAGTCTCAACATTTTGTGTTTAGGGTCAGTGCGATGAATTGCATAAATTCGTTCCATTTTGCTCCAATAAGACAAAGTCTTTGAACATGCATGTTTGATTTGAATTAATGTACTAGTCCTCTTATAGAAGGGAACAGTCTTTCCACGCGTGTAGGCTCACATCCACTGGGTAAAGAGCGCACTTTTACACAACCATGAATGAATATGTCGTAGGTCCATGGCCATATGACTCTATGTCTACTGACCCACCATCATCATCACCTCCATCAATGAATTTACATAACAGTCAGTATGGATTGGAGCAAGAGTTGTATTGAGGTGAGTATTTGTCAAAATTCCAATATTCAAGAAGTCTGGGTTCCAAATACCTTATATACACAACTTACTGTAGATGACACGTTATCATAGATGTGAGGTAAAAGAATAGTTACCTTCAATATTCTTCTAGGCTGCGTTTGGAAGAGGTGTAAAACGTTTTTTTACACTGAACCTTAAATATATATAACCATTGTATTTTGAAATCGATGTAAAAAGTGGTTTAAGTTTTATATCGATAAAATAAATGTAGTTTTTACATCGGTTATCGATGTAAAGCTTTAAATGTAATGAGGTTTTACATCTATCATCGATGTAAATCTACACTCCATCCAAACGCACACAAAATTGAACCGGAGTGTAGTTTTACGTCGATAATGATTACACTTGTTTACCAAATGCGTATAAAAGCGAACCGGTATAAATTTTACATCCGTTTTTGATTTACATCACATCTAAATATAGCCTTAAATTTTAATCAGAAGGTAAAAGAATAATTACCTACAATGTTCTTTTAATAAAAAAGATAAACAAGGGGATTGAGTGGGTAATCATGTCATGTAGAGTTTCCACTTTTTTTTTTTCAAACAGCCAAAGTGTTCTTGACTTGAAATTTTACATGTATAAATTTTTAAGTGCATTGAATTAAGGTCAAGGGTGGGCCCATTCAAAATGTAAAACTTCAGCCCTACCCACAAGCTGCACCCTCACTAACTGGAGACTAGATCTCATACCCAATAGAACCTTACACATGTCTCATTATAGTTGTACATTGAGAAAATCTCCTGTATTTGCATATTATCATTCATGTTGAGATATTCTCAATGTAAAACTGTAGTATCATATGGGTAAGTGTGAGTAGCATTCTTGTAGGTATACAAGATCTAAACTGTGCTAACTCAGAAGAATAAGTCAGACCAGGGAAGGTAGGCAAGCTGATCAGGGGCCACCGGGTCATGGCTATCTATCTGTCTATATTTTCTGGTATAGATGAATATACCCATTTGGAGCTCTTTGGGATCCATTCTCCCTATCACCCATGCAAGTTGAGTAATCCAAGGGTGTAGGAGTTCTTAGGCAAGACATTAAAGCCTGCCATGCATGGTGGGTGCGTGGGTTGAAACTCCGGCCGGGTGGCAAAGGTTTGCAACGACCTTTGTTTCTTATTGATGCCATCCTTGTAATGCTTAGGGGATGGAAATCAATTCATTTCTGCTTTGAAGTTTTGGTTTATCTACTTTCCTGCATGCATGTTTCTCCACCTTCATCAAATTATTTTTCTGCTTTACTCCCTTTTTCTAGTTTCATTTTTCATTTTTTTTTTTGTTTTTAAAGATATTTTTTATAGCTAGGTATTGCGAGATCTGAATAGGTTGGTCTTAACCCATAGATCCTCTTTGACCCATACAATCTAAGTTCATATTGGTGMCCCACAGCACATTCCAACTGTGTATTGAAAGAGACCGGATCTGTTCCTCACATAGGGCACTTCACACTGACCTTACAGACACATCCCACCATGCATTGGGAATATTTCACGTACTTATACCTTATTATTCATGGAAGATGCTCGCAATGCATGATGAAATGTGCATGTGAGGTCGGTGTAAGGCACCCTRTGTGAGGAGCAGATCCCAATTCGTATTTGGAACATCTCTTATTGACAATTATGGGAGATATTGTTCCCAATGCTGTCACAGATATGCATGTGGGGCGCCAATGTGAATTTATGAGACTCTCTCATAACAAGTCGCCTGTATCAATTACAGTGTATTTAACCATCTGTTTGAATTAGTTAGCTTATCACTTGTGAATTATGTTAAAATTTCAAGCATTATAATTAAATATTGAAATTTTGTTATTATTATTAAAATCCTTAGGATTCCCTAAGTTGGATCCATCAATCAAAGAATTAATGCATCCGGATTTAATTTATAAGATCATATCAACCCCAAATGTCAGTATAATTATTTTGTTAAATGGGCCATCATCAATCAAATATAATGTCCATTAGTTAATGTGTTCAACATCAAGCACCGAGCAGACAAGCTTGAATTATGATCCCTTCTACATGAAGTAATTAATTATCTACCAAATCACTTTTCCCCCTCTTTCTCATTTTCTAGTTGTAATGAATATTCAATAGATCAAACACTTTTTTTCTACTCCATTTATTATCAATTTTGAAGTATTAGGGAGTACAAAAAGAATTACAGACTTTTCTAAAGAGGAAACATATATAGGCTGCAAGACCAGTTGTAAGCGTGAGTAAAAAGGTGGCTAAGTGCCGACTGTTGGTGTTTTGGTGGTCCTGGACCTGGTTAATGGTACAGCAAGAAAAAGAAAAAGGTGATGAAAAAAGGAAAAGAAAGAATAAGAAAGGAGAAATAAAAAAGAAAAGATGGATATATACAATCTTTTTCTTGGTGGTGCTTTCTTAAATTCGCACGTCTCACAGTTACAGCTAGCCTTTGGTCGGTAATCCCAAGTTAAATAGCTTTGATAATATTTGATACAATGTATATTGCAAAGCTTTATACACTTAGATGCCATATACATGACCCACATATCTATACATCATTTTCATTCCATCCCTATTGTTCCATTTTCAACAAGTCCATAGCGATCTGATAAAAGGGATGGCTCAGATGGGACCTTAGTTGGTGTAAGAATTCTAGGCTGATGGTTGATCCACTGGTTGCTAAAAAATAACGGACTTCATCTTCTAACAACTTAAGCTTTTAAGTTGAACGATTTTTTGAGTGATATTGTATTTTATTTGATCAAATAGTCTAATGTATAAGGGGATTTAGAGAATAAAATTAAGCCTGTTCAGTGACCTCACCTAAGAGCTTAAGCTTTTATCTGATCACTAGAGTCTATACACAGTAATCGGGACTGGGGAGGAATATTAAATCTAACCATATATATGTTTAATTTAAACTTTAAACCTTAAAACATAAACAAGCTAATGAGTTGAGCAAATCTGTTGAAGCTAAGATTGGTTTGATAGTAAATAAGAAGAAATCTCTTCAATTATTGAGAGGCGAATTAGCCGGCTGACTTTCTTGTTAACCTTGGGATTGATGAAGCCTCTTCTTATAATGTTATAACTGATAATAATTTTAGAAAAT